GACAGAAAGGGCCACATAAACCAGAGACTTCATCAGCCTGAGACTAGAAGAACTAGATGGTGCCCGGCTACCACAATGACTGCCCTGACAGGGAACACAACAGAGAGTCTCTGATGGAGCAGGAGAAAAGTGGGGGGCAGAACTCAAATTCTAGTAAAAAGACAAGACTTAATGGTTTGATTGAGACTGTAAGGACTCTGGAAGACATGGCCCTTGGACTCTCTGTTAGCCCAGAACTAAAACCATTCCCAAGGCCAATTCTTCAGACAAACATTAGACTGGACTTACAGGACATAAAATGATACTTGTGAAGAGTGTGCTTCTTAGCTCAAGTAGATACATGAGACTAAATGGGCAGCTCCTGCCCAGAGGTGTGATGCGAAGGCAGAGAGGGTCAGGAGCTGGCTAAATGGAGATGGGAAATCCGGGGTGGAAAGGAGGAGTGTGTTGTCACAGTATAGGGAGAGCAACTAGGGTCACAAAACAATGTATGTATAAATTTTTGTATGAGAGACTAACTTGAATTGTAAACTTTCACTTAAAGCACAACAGTAAAAAAATTAAAAAAAACCTTATGAACAGCAGCAGATTGTCTGATATAGTGCCAGAAGATGAGCCCCTCAGGTTGGAAGGCACCCAAAATACGACAGAGGAAGGGTTTCCTCCTCAAAGTAGAATCAAACTTAATGATGTAGATGGAGTAAAGCTTTCACGGAGCCTTCATTTCCTGATGTGGCATGGCTCAAAATGAGAAGAAACAGCTGCAAACATCCATTAATAATCAGATCATGGAATGTACGAAGTATGAATCTAGGAAAATTGGAAGTCATCAAAAATGAAATGGAACACATAAAGTTCGATATCCTAGGCACTAGTGAGCTGAAATGGACTGGTATTGGCCATTTTTAATCAGACAATCACATTTCAAGATCTATCCTGAAGTACAACACTGTCGGTGATACGATAATATCCATATGCTTGCAAGGAAGACCAGTTAATAGTACTGTTATTCAAATTTATGTACCAACCACTAAGGCCAAAGATGAAGAAATTGAAGATTTTTACCAACTTCTACCGTCTGAAATTGATCAAACATGCAATCAAGATGCATTGATGATTACTGGTGATTGGAATGGGAAAATTGGAAACAAAGAAGAGATTAGTAGTTGGAAAGTACAGCCTTGGTGATATAAAAGGCTTCAGAGATCGCATGATAGAAATTTGCAAGATGAACGACTTCTTCACTGCAAACCTTTTTCCAAGAACATAAAGGATCGCTATACACGTCAACCTCGATGGATGGAAAACACAGGAATCATATCAATTACATCTGTGGAAAGACACAATGGAGAAGCTCAATATTATCAGTCAGAACAGGGGCCGACTGCAGAACAGACCATCGATAGCTCATATGCAAGAAGTTGAAACTGAAGAAAATTAAAGAAAGTCCACGAGAGCCAAATACTACCTTGAGTATGTTCCACCTGAATTTAGAGACCATCTCAAGAATAGATTTGACTAATTGAACACTAATGACTGAACACCAGACCAGTTGTGGAATGACATCAAGGACATCATACAGGAAGAAAGCAAATGGTCATTAAAAAGACAGGAAAGAAAGAAAAGACCAAAATGGATATCAGAAGACACTCTGAAACTTGCTGTT